ATATATATATATATACATATTATCATTAAATTCAATAAAAGTTTATTTGTGAAATAATGTGAAAACAGATTCACATTATGTTGTATTTATTTGTGATATATATCGTAGATTGATTGCGTAAGATATGACATAAATGAATGCAAACGTATTGTTCTAGCATATTACAAAGTAGAAATCAGGATTGGTGTAAAAGAGCATGTTTAAATACATTTTAAACAATTTAAAATATGTTTAATCGATGTTAATGTGTTTTAAACGCTTTTTTTTTATAATATTGTTTAAAGCATGTTTGCGAAGCATTAAAGACAAGTTTAAAAAGAGACGTCATGTTTTATTCTTCAAAAAAAAAAATAGCCTTTACCAATCCTGGTACAAATAAACCGCGGTATATAAGTCTCCATATCGAGTCTATTCGTCCTACTTCGATAAGTTTGGACATACAGACGAATGTATTTTTAGCCTAATCGCAGGCAACATGCGATCACTTTCTTCTTACTTAGCATATACCGCTATCATAATCGCTACCGACCGGCTGATTCATCTCACACGCATTACGAATTACTCCTGATGACGAATGCGTGCTGCTAACGAACTATTTCCGTAATCTTTGGTCGCGCGATAACACGCTTTTTACTATCAAAAAGGAGTCATACGAGAGAGAAAGAAATAGAGATCGATCTGATGTAACATTTCAATCAATAAGGCGGCTTCTAATCGAGTATTTTTTCTTTATCTCTCTTTTTTTACTTGCGAATACATTCTTAAGCTGTAATCACACTATGAGTCTGAGTCGGGAGTCTGTAGTGTGATTACGGCTTTAAGCTAGCAACTTAGTACATCCGTAAAGCTATATTCACAAAATTAATTAGTCATAAATATCCTATACATCTATATTTACTGTAATTTTTATTGATTTTTTTCTTTGTTAGATGCGTAACGTGATACATAATTAAATTATACTGTCTGCTGTGTGGCAATTGGGACGTGGCCGTGTAATAAATCGTAATGTAGGATTCACATTGCGTACAACATTCGACGTACGACGGTACGATATCCAATAGAGAAGAGCTTGTTTTCTAAATATATAGCTAACAATATTTTGTCATACGATGATGCTTGTCATCTAGAAAACAATCTCTCCTATTGGATATCGCGTACCGTCGTATGTCGGATGTACGCAGTACGAATCCTGAATAAGGATAAATCGGCGGCCTTGGCCGGCGAAACAGGAAAAATCGATGGTGCCCGGCAGTCTAGAAGCATTTGGTGCCGCAACGCAAAACCGAAGCTCGTCTTTTCCCGTTGTTCCATTACTTGTCAGTTGCCCGTTAGTTCGTTCCGCTGGTTAGGAGCCGAGGGCACGTGTTTTCGACGCTTTTACCACGCCGTTCGTTCTTCTTCCGCCGTGAGTACGAAAATCACTCTCTAATCGCAGGCGCTTCCCGCCAGCATTGTGATAAGTATTCTCGCATTATCCAATTATTGTCGCATTTATAACGACGAATGTTTATTCACGACTACGTATAGCTGCGTATCTTAAATTACAAGTTTTTATTTATAACATGCGTAAGATGACATGTATATATATATATATGTACCAAAATTCTATTTTTATTTTTCAGCTAGATCTTAATGTTAGTTGGCGCTTTCAATCGTAATTTTAATTAATCTCGGCTCGAAGAGATTCTTTAATCAATTCGATGTGGACACAAAAGAGTCTCTATCAGGGTAGAATAAAAATGACTATTTTTAAAAACATCGTTTTTATAGAAATCTGAGAATTGTCGCTCGCTGTAAACAAGATCTCGTGACTTGATTAGTGCATGACGTCAGTACGTTTTTTTATGAGAAACTCTAACGTTGTCGATCAGTCAGTTCGTGAGCTTTGATTCTGCAAGACTCTTTGACTCTACGCTGCAGATATATTTATTAATATCGGTAAAATACCGTCGATAATTATAGATCGTGCCGAAGAGACGTTCGAGAGTATCGTATATATGTATCTCTTTCTTTTGCTTTAGTCTCCTCTCACCTGAAAGCCGGAAGTACACGTTACTACCGTGGCTATATCATATATATAGTTCTTTGGTTTCATAAATATGTGTGTGTGATCGTGTGTATTCAGAACAGTCTCTACATCGTGAAGGCAAAGATACGTGTGACTTCCAACTGCACCTTTACAGGTGACATTCTCGTTAGTTTTTTTTTTTACGAGAACGTGTTTCTCGAAATATCGAGTTGGGTCAATCGGAATAATCGTGACATTAAAATAACAGATCGGTGAAGTAAGATACACTTCCGCTCGTAAATTTTGAACAATGGATTTTAAAAGATTCTTTTTTTTCCGGGTCGCGAACTATATAAGGAGTAATAGGAAAATACAACTGCGGTGACTCGTTTTAAAGTCCCAGAGTATCCGCCATGAAAGGAAAGCGTAAAATTTTACGAGTGAATGAACGCTGACGAATAGCGGTAGACTCGTATACAATGGGATCAATGGAAAGGGAAGAATTTGGTTGCTCGGGGCAGCGAAATAATGCCGGCCCTGGTCCGGTCCCGCGACCTTGCGGTATGCAGACGCAGTCTCTCTTCACATGCACATAGTATAAGCACACACACACGAGAAACGGATGACATCATCGCCGATGAAAGTGTACATAACTTAGCAATGCATCACACACTTTGCTCGACCACTGTGAGCCGGTGGTCGAGAGGCGGCTGCTCGGGGTTCTTCTTTTTACTGAATAAGCGACATCGAAGACGAACAAGCATTATCAAAAGCCTTCCAGAAATTTTAGACGTGTATCCATAAATCTCTTCTACAGTATTTCGTTTGAGAGTGAATTCTTTTTTCTTTCGTGCTGAAATGAAAACGAGATAAAAGCAAGAGTGTTTCATTTGCTCATTTTCATGAGGATCCATTGAAATCTCTTTACCGCAGTTGCAAGAATTTTAAATTATAGCGTTCATCTGCATTACACTAGATCAGTACAATATATAAGAGCTGTTATATATGAAATTAATATAGCTAAATGTGATAGCAACTAAATATTTTAAACGATTACTCTGATTCAAATTTATTATACAATATTATATATTTAGGTCAATATAATGAAAAAGTTCTAACAAATACAAAATTCTAACAGAAAAAAGATCTTATATTAGAGAAAACTTTTTTAAATAAAATATTAATTTTAAAACTTGCATCTTATATTTGTTATTTATTATTTTGACTTTGCGATAAGTTTCTTGTTTTCTCTTGTCTCACATTCCACTTTATTACTTCAATATATGTATGTTGTGTTTTAACAATCCATGTAAGTTTATATAATTTTTCTAAAGAGTTTTGTAATTATTGCTGTAAAAGATATTTTTATCAATTATTATTGTATTTCTAATGAATAGTTTGCGGAATAACTAAATGGATTTAATATGTAGCGACGTTTCCACCAGTCTAAATGTTAACTCGTCTTCATGTGAGTGAATTTTTTAAGAATATTTTTTGAAAGAATGCTTATATTAATGTTTTATGTATTGAAAATAATTATTGATAATAATTTTTTAGTAAATTGAGCACTTTAGTGAACGAGATTAGACTATTGGACAATGTTACTTATTGCGTATTTAATTCTTCAAATTTTATGACATCATTTAATATTTTAACTTTCCATCTGAAGAGGATCTCAAGCAGAGATCGAAACGTATATCCAATTACACAATAAAGAAATATTATAATTATACACATTATCATCCATTGTCGGCTCA